AGAGTTCTCCAAACGGGCTCCAAATTAAATTTCAGAAATGGATTTATGAAATTATGACAAAGTGCCAGAAGTCACGATAGGAGCATAAATTTGATGTACAAGTAGGTGTGTTGTGAATATGAAGTTCTCACATCGCTTATACATGAAATAGTGTGTATTTAAAAGCGGGCCTGAAGCCCTTACTTGTGGGCGCGTTTTAAAACCGTGAGGTCCTGAAGTACCAAAGCGGACAATATCCCAAGTTAAATTTAAATAAATTCATTCAAGTTAATACTTTGATAGAGTCATACACATTAGAAATTTAATCCTATTGTAAGGATAAAAAGTAATGGAAGTACAAATTATATTTATAAACAAATTGTGCACATAAATAATAATGATAAAATCTCAGGCATCGAGTGTAAGCTCAAAGAAGTTACTCAATCACTGCGAAGTAAAAGTTTGAAAAGTGATATCATACATACCAACGCAGTGTAAATTGTATTTCCATAATATCTGCCTGTAGCAGAATTCTCCTCATACTATACCATATACACTTGAATAATTGAAACATGTGTTGCATGGAGTTTAAGATTTTTGAATAAATGACTGGTGTAAGGTCAACCCAGGTTTAAACCAAATGCCGTATAATGACATCCAATATGTTAATACTTTTTAGATAAGAAAATGGCAAGACCGTCTATTCTCCCAATATTGTAGAAGTGGATCCTCGGGAGTTAAGTGAACCTGAAGTTTCACAATGTGGGTTAATAATATTAAATTTGGTCTCAAGAATATGCTTCATTGAAATGTTGACATGTAATGAGTGGTATAAGACCACTTTGCCGGCTTTTATGAGATATAGTGAAGAGCATAAAGTAACCCACATAATTAATATATCTAGCATTATAAGATGAGTGTTTTGCCTGAGATAAATTGATAGAAAGTTGCCCAAATATATGAAGAAAATGTAGTTTATATTAATTCGGCATTTGTCAATAACTAACCCCCAAATGTTTACACGTTCAAATGAGCCAAAATGTGCCAACATTGAACCCCATTATAGAAACAATGCACTTGGGCCCCAGAAGTGGCTCCATGTAAATCCTTGTTCAAAAACATCATTATGGCACAATTTCCGACATTAGGGGGAGATATAATGGCATAGCAATAAATATATTATGGTTGGAATGTCGGAAAAATATCCCAGAAGGATTGAACGATATGAAAAGAGAAACGTGTAAAATATGATAAGTAAACTGCCAAAGTGACTGAAAGAAATGATAATAAAATTTGAGCTCAACCAATGCATGAAGCATGGTTAGACGGTCATTATGTGTATATAAAACTGATTTTTATTACAGTAAGTCACTACAAGAGAATGATATAAGTTAAATGTTGCAGCTGATAATTTATATGATACAGAACATGAATTCCTCTTTTATGGCTCATATAGAGGATTTTGATGAAACAGGAATCATAGTTATTATATTGACGTCAATGATTTATTTTTCCATGACTATCGATTCATAATCCATAATAATAAAGTCTGGCCAGACGAAATGTGATGGACCTGTAGTCCTAAACAATTTTGTGAATTATGATCGATGTTTATGGATGAGAAGATATTTTATATTGAGCCTGAAGTCCCATAAATCAAGATATTGTACACGTGGGGTGAGTGGGTGACAATACTTGAGATTGAATGATTTTGAGACTACATTCCTGATATAGTTTAAAGTTCTGTAAATGTGGCAGTTGATGAGAAAATTGAATGTCATTGCTATAATATCAATTGTGTGTCCCTGAAGGACAATGATGAAAAGAAATATGTGCACACAACATGCAACATGAATATGAATTATTTTATGTCTACAATTATTAAGTAAAGACATTATGTTTTAATAAGTTATAGTAATTATATTTGGAATTATTCTTGAAAAGGATTTTGGATTTGATTGAATAACTGCACCAATTGGAAATGCAGTAAAACTCTTAAGCATAGTTGGAAATATAGAAAGAGATGCTTGTGCCTATCCACAACCTGGGTGATCATATTAAGCCTTGATGACATGATTTATTTTGTAGAAGAACTATGCTTGATTAACATGGTGCAAATATTATTTTATTGAACAAGGTCTTTGCACCATGTGAAATATCACTTGTGGTGAGTGCCTCCTGTAGGGGATCTAATGTGAACAATTTTCTTATGTGTTTCACATAATTTTATGACTAGAATTTAAACTAATTTAAAGTGAACTAGGGATGGATCCAGGATTTCGAGTCAAGGGGGGCGAATTTTTTTTCATTAGTGTAGGGAGTGAAAAAATTTCGCTAGTAAGCGAAACGGAAAAAAATTCGCTGGTGTAGCGGGGCAATTTTTTTCGCTAGTGTAGGGCTCTGCGGCTAATTTTTATTTAAAAATTTCCATTAGTACATACTATATACACGATGACAATTATATCTAATATATTCTCATTCTAATTTTAGACAATGAAAAGATAACTTTGATTTAATAACTATAAATGCTACAGAGAAAAGTATTGATACATTAAAGTTTAAGAAATGACAAATTAAAGGAAAATTATTTGAAAATAAGAAAGGATATATAACATTTTATGATATTATTTGAAGGTAAAGTGGTTAAAGTTAAAGGTACACATCAACCAATGCTTTTTAAGCAACTTATGTCTTGTTTAATTAACCACATGAATCCTAACAGGATAAAAAATTGGTTTTTGAATTAAAATTTTTGTCTATCAAGGAGGGTATTTGTGGGTCATGATGAGTTTTCTTAATATTACGGTAGTATGTATGAGATTATTATACATAGAATAATATGATACATAGTAATGTTAATTCATATATACGGTGCATATTATATTCGTATTAATGTTAAAATAAGTTAAAGTATTATCTATTCAAAAATTGTTTTTAGAAAGTAAGAGGTAAACGAAGTGTGTAATTTAATGTCAACAAACATTTATACTACTCTGTATTTAACAACTGTATCTAATTTTCAATATCTTTTGATATCTTACAAAATCGAGTACTAATTACCTAATAAAGATAATTTTTTTGAGAAAATGATAATTAAACATTACAAAACTAAGAATTTTTAGGTACCCTAAGTCTTAAACAATGATTTCTATTGTTTATTTGTTTAGGTTATGTCAATTATTTTAGATTCTACTTTTAAATCTCCATTTAAGCATTGCATTATGTGAGCCTATATATTAATTTTGAAAACTAAAAGTTAAAGGGGGCGAAAACATATTTACCTAATTAAAAGTATGAAAATTTTATGAAAGTATTATATATATATATATATATATATATATATATATATATATATATAATAGAAAAAATTTGGAAGTCCAAGGGGGGCGGTCGCCCCCCCCCCCCCCTTGGATCCGTCCCTGAAGTGAACTATATTCATACTACTTCTCAATCTTTCCTGCAGAAAGAGTTGAATGAGGAAAACATTATGCAATGAATTTGCAATTACTCGTAAACCTTCTATTTGTTTAGCTGAAGTAAACATATATTGTTCTATGAACAAAATTGTATAAATAAAGGCGTTGGAGGCTTTTAAGCATCTAACCAAACCTAGAAACAACACATGAGAATCCTTTGATTTGAATGGTGTTTGATTATATAATAAATATCTAGTCATTACATTGCGTTAATGCTCAATATGGTGACACAAGCTGGTGTTTCCAAGTTCAAGGCTGTTAAGGCTCTAAAGGCCCATGATGGTGACATTGTAAGTGCTATTATGGAGCTCACTACTTGAATAACTCTTAGATTATGGAGTTTGGGTTTCGGAACTGATTTTGTTTACCAATTTTTCCTAATTATCGCAACTGTGGTACCCTGTGTTGCCGAGTTGTGTATGTTTTTCTTGAATCTATATTGTTTCATGCAGAATTGGATTTCTTTTGTCAAAATAAAAAATAAAAAATGAAACTGAGATAGATGATGGTGATGAATTGAATCAATTGATGATATAAGCGTGTACTTATATGGCTTAAAGTTCCATTCCCAAGTTCTAAAACTGCAGTGGATTGCTGTCTTTTGCACTTTATCAATCGAACTGAGTTTGTCCCTACTTTTTTTTATTCTTCGGATTTGAGATTGCTTTTGTAACAAAAAAACTAGTGTATAATGTAGACAAGTTGGGTTTTCTGAAGAAAAATAAAATCTGCCATTTTATCCCTTTTCATGTTTAGTAACTTCAGTTAACTTTAGTCTTAAGCTAAAAAACTTCACAAAAGCAATGTGAAAAACAGAAATAATATATTTTGAAAAAAATCTCCATTGTGCTAATATTTTGTCAATGTTAATGTCTTTGGGAAAAGGATAAAAAAAAATAAGATCTTATACAATACATGTACTTAAGTTATACAAAGTAGTCGGATCACTCGGATGACATTAGGACATTTTGACAAATTCCTCATCTCTATTTTGAAATGTAATTTTGAAATGTAATTGCACATTTACATATTCAATCCTCATTCTCGACTCATTTTTAATACTTCTTCACATATAATCTAATACTCCTTTTTAATGTTTATTAAACTAACAAATATAATTGCATATTTTTAGGTTTTATTTTTATTTATTAAGTGTCTTAAGCAGAAAAATTAATCATTACATACTCGTACATATTATTACAAGAATAGATAATATGCACGGCGGTTGTATCAAATGACCTCAATTGCTTTTTTTTTTAAATGAAAACGAACATTTTTTTTGGAAAAATGCAGCTTATATTGATAAAAGAACATTCAGCAAGGGACAAACAAGATAAAGGGATCACTTCCAGCCATTGACACTCGAACCAGCTGGAGAACCAATCACCTTATACAAAGCAATATGATTCGTTGATCCTATAACGGGCCTACATGAGACTATCATGTTTAAAGCAGAGACCTCATCACCCCACTTAATGTAAGAGTCTGGAAGCTAAAAACAACAACAATGAAAATAAACAAGAAATAAAAATTTAAACAACACTTTAGAATTTGATTTTAAATTGCTTTACGCATACTATGGTGATGATAACTTTTGATGGTAATGATGGTAATCATAGATAATAAGAACACTAATATTAGTGATGGTAACAATAATAATAATAATAATAATAATAATAATAATAATAATAATAATAATAATAATAATAATAATAATAATAATAATGGTGACGCTAACAATAAAAATGATGATGATCATCATGGTGATGGTAGACCAGTGGTGGAAATAATAATAATCCGTAAGAATGATTAGGGAGTAGTAGCAAGGTTCCTCCCAAGCACCCTTGAAGTTCTCCTTATAACACTTACATCAATGAGCAGTTGCGTTTATTTGTAGCTCAGCCAACATTCTCCAGCATCTCAAATTTACTATTCCCATGCGCACTTGAATGGGCTAATCTGCAAGTAAAATGAAATGCGTCAACAACAAGCACGCACGAGAGTCAAGGGAACAGAGAGGCAGGTGTTCAAAGGGAGCATCAAGAAGAGAGAGGCAGAGGTTGAAACTTCAAAGAGAACATGAAGAAGATAGAGTCAGGGGTTCAAAGAAGACAAGAACAGAAGAACGCTTCTACTTTGGGCTGCACTCAAATGTTTTTGCAAAGTTATTATGCAAAGAAACTGTGCAGTATGATTTAAAATATGAGGACAAGCAAAGGTGTGAGCCCGGAAAAGGTTACTACCACCATGGCAAGTGATGGAATAATCACCCAAATTAATTATTCTGCTTCCTCTACCTGAATTTAAAGCTCATGTTTCGATTTACAATGATTGACCAATCATAAAGCTAGTTAACTTCTATCTGGATATACTTACATTAGCATTAATAAATACTAGTACCTTTTAAATGTTCGGAAAGCACCCCAAATTCTAAATAATTAATAAGAGATTAAAAGATAGTTCGTATGTAAGTTAATTATGGGAATACAGAACATGAACTTTAGCTAGATGCATAGATAGGATATTATTACCATTGCTGTCCTGGTGCCAACCTCACGAAAGTCAAACTCCTCTCTGGTTTGAATGCGGAATGGTAAGCCTCGGCTTGAAGAGTCTTCACCTCTCCCGAAATGGTGTCTTTGGCAAGGATTGTTATATAGTAATTGAAACCACAACAAGGTCCATAATTTACTTTCTTAATCCGCACTAGTTCCAGCTTTGCATTCTAAAATTCCACAAAAAAAAAAAAATACAGTTGGTTCATGAAATTAACAAAAGAACAAAATGGTTCTGATCCTATGTTTCAAAAGGCACATAGAGGAAACTTAGGTTCCAATAGTCAAGGAGCTAGGCGCAGACAACGTAGGTCTAAGGCATATCCTGTAAGCTAAAACGGATCATTGTTACAGATTATCTTGCACTCAAAACATTAACACCATGTTTTGAATAATAATATAGGAATGTTAACAGAGCATAATACCAACTAAATCATACACAAATATCAACATCAAAACTCACAATATTAACAAGTTTAAACTTCAATAGTTCAAAATTCATAACATTCATATCACAACATAAAGCAAACAAACCAGATGACTGTACACAGATAAATATTCCCTCTAAAACAATTACAACTTATTAGGAAAAAAATCAGGATGATGGAAATCACACGAAGAAAATAGAGGAGCAGTGCCTCACACCTAGGACAAGGCGTCCTAATGCGCACAACTCATGGAACCTATGGTACCCAGACTTACCGGGGCTATATTTCACTGCCTCACTATGCATTGTGCCTTTCTGAACTACGTGCTTCTCCTCTACCGGAGTTCTAAGTTGGGCAGTAATTATGCTGGTCAAGCAATGGACGATTTCAAAATCTACACAATCGGGCCCATGTCACTGAATGACATATGGTTTGGTTCAGAGATTTTAGATGGGAGGGAAGATATATAGTTTCTAAACTACTTGTTCATTTGAAAGGTCAAAGGTACAGTGAAGATAAATAACTAGTCCAACCAATCATGTATCTATTTTAGTATATCTCATAAAATCGACTAACAAATATAGATGATATAGTAAAAAAAAAAAAAAGCAATCCTTCTATTCACTCCTCTATGAAATCAACAAACCAAACAAGCTCAGGGGAAAGATCCAGATTGACAATACAAAAGGTGAAAGAGGATACTTAAAGAATTACTGTGTACCACATACGTTATCAGCATTGTACTTATCAATGGCCATAGAGGTGTACTCCTTCACGAAGCTATAATGAGATCGATACTTATCGTCGTCCTCAGAATCCTCTTCTGAGTCCTCATGTGAATCCTCCTCTGAATCCTCCTCCACATACGCCTCCAAAGTCTCCTCCGAGTAGAGTGGTTGTACTCCGCCAGAATGGATACAAGCTGGTACAGGGAGGACATCAAAACCCTAACAACACAGTTAAACTTAACAATTACAGAACCGAATAAGAAATAGAAAGGACCGTGCACGTTGATAGGCCACCTCTGACTCAATCAACCGTCTATTGTACTCCTTCGTCTCCCTCCAAGCTTCTTCACTCTCATAATCGCTCTTGCTTCCGGCATAATCATCACTGTTAAAACTTTTGGCGTCATCTTCGCTTCCCAATGTTTCATGTGACACCCAGGCCCGGTCCTGACATTTCTTGGGCCCGGGGCAATACAAACAGGCCTCGGGAATGGCGTGTAAATATTTATAATATTTTTATATAAAAATATACTCCGTATTAGTAAAATTAAACAATTTTGTCATACAAATATGAGTGTAATTTAACACTTCAAAGAAATCATTAAAGCAAACAATTAGAAAAAAATTATTGAAATATTTGATATGTGACATTCGAGGATACATTGTTCCTTGTTAGAAACTCAATCCAGCTCAGGTCTCCGGTTTACACCCACAAAGGATGCTAAAATCACCACCAAGGTCAACAAAGGGAAGAGGGGCGTCAGCCAACAGTGCTTTTCCGGCCAATTCACGGTCAATTTCCGATGAAACCCACCAAGGAAGAAAGAGAGGCGGACTGGTTCTGGGAATAGGGTTATCATGAATCATCGCAGCAACAGGCAAGAGTCCGCGTCGACCTTTTATCTAATAAATGCATCCCTTCCAGAAGTCGGGGTTTGTTGCACGTATTAGCTCTAGAATTATTACGGTTATCCGAGTAATAAAAAATTTTGAATTAGGGAAATACTTGAAAGATACGTAGTATATCGTATAAGGAGTAACCTTTTTCATACGGAGTATTTTAAATCACATTATTACTAGACTAAAACAAGCAGCAAGTTACTAAATTATGAATATTATAGATAGCTCAATCTTTCACTTTAATAAGAGAAACAGAGAAAATTAGTGAAATACTATCAAATAATCATGAGTATAAATGAGAGAAGTAGAGTAAAAGAACATTTATACGCTAACCCATGATGAATCAAAAGAAATGGTGAATTACGTTCTCAATGAATTCTGATGTGGATGTTTTAATAATGAATTGAAAGTATCTAAAAAATCCATATATTTGACTTTATTTTTAAATTTTTATAAATTTTTAATGTATATAATTAATATTAATATAGATACACATAATCGAGAAATTTATGGGCTCTAGTGGAGCAATGGGCCCTGGGCGCATGCCCCGTTGCCCATGCCCCAGGACCGGCCCTGGTGACACCGGTGGTATTTCCTCGCTCGACGCGGTGCTGTGGGTGCTATCATCCGCTGTTTTTCCTTCCCCAGATGATGGATCAAAATTCGGGAAGTTGAGTGTTTTTTCTCCGCCGATGAAATATGTGTTCAACATGGTCGACGAACTCCACATGGTGAAGCAATTTCGTTATTAATATCCATTCCCAATTTCAGCCTGGATATTAATAACACGCGGATCGGCGGGTGGTCGGGTGGGGTCGTCTTATTCGATCGAATATTACTGGTTGTCTGGTTGTACGAGACCTGTGGATATTAGTGGAAGATCCCATACAATAAATGAAAGGTGATTATGGTGCCACGATATCGATCGGTGAAACATATGCCATATGCCATCGGACACGTACCTGGGGTATGCTCTTCGCCACCGTCACTGTTTCATTGGCTTTGTGAAACACTACTCCCCCTTATAAATATCAAATCCCCCAAATGGCTTAGGGTTTCCGATTTCTCGCTTCTCAAGCTTGCCGTTCTGGAAGTCTATGCCACCAAGGTTTTCTGGTTCGTCGCTGCTTTTTATAAGGTAATTTCGGTTTTCCTTTTTCTACTCCAATCTTTTTTTAACCTCGGTATGGCGACCTCGATGGAAATCTCGTCGAGCTCTAGCTCCAGCTATTCATTGGATTCTAGTTCTGATTCCCGATCCTCGGGCAAAATTAAACCAGCACTTCTGGTAACCTGGGTTCTGCCTCCACTGTGGGGACTATAGACCTATAGTTGTTGATGATGCTAATGGTGCCGCCACCCAGCAAGTGAATGTGATGATAAGTGCCACTTCCACAAGTGTGTCCGGAGAAGACGCCTCTGATGGAGAAGGTGAAGGGGACGTCTCACAGGAGATCGTGGTCCAAGATAATAGTGGTGCAGGGGGTGTCGCGATTGGCGTCCAGTGGGTTATGACTCAGAAACCGAGGCCCGAGATGGGAGTGACGAGGACGTGTATGATCGGGGTATTTTGATGGACGCCAGGCGCCACATGGTACACATCAAGAATGCCAATATGCCATCGGACATCCGCAGTCCTTCTCAGATCGGGCTCTAGATGATCCGAAGATTTTCCTTCCCCCTCCACTCATCTATAGTCTACGAGGGTGACACACATGATGAGGAGACGGTCGGGGATGATCTTGATCCACTTGGACTCTGTCAAGGCCGGGCTGCGGTTCCCCCTTCATCCATTTTGCATTGAGTTCTTCCGTTGCTTCCAAGTGGCTCCCGCGCAGTTCATGCCCTATTCTACCGATTTATTTCGGCATTCATCGGCCGATGCAAGGCCAGAAAGGTGATTCTGGGCTTGGAACTCTTCCATCACTTCTACCGACTGACCCCCCAGAATTCAGTTGGTTCTATTAATGACTGGAAGAATTGGTTTTTATTCGTTCATTGTGACGACACACGGATCCCCGTTCGGTGGAATGGGTATCCGCCAAAGATCAGCTCACTGAGGCTGACCGCCGAGCTGGAGGAGTCTGTCAAGAAGATGGGTGATAAGTCCGTATTTAAACACACATTTTATGAGTGTTGGGATTGGTATTTGATGGTTTTCCTAGTTTTAAGGTGATAGTCTCAATTTTAGCTCAAGTTATGTTTACCGGGCGTTGGTTCGAGTTTTGTGTTGTTTGGAGTCAAAATCAGAAATTTAGAGTTCGGCACCGGCGCGTGAGGAGCAATAGGAATGATTCGAGATGCATTCGAGAGTGGATTGAGAGCTTTGGAGGTCACTGGGAAGTTCACGGTGAAAATTTGAACGCTAAAGAGCTCTAGGAGTGGTTACGGGATCAAAAGAAGATGAATAAAGGTTGAAAACGACGATCAGGATGACCTTTTGTCAATCATTGAAGCATATATCTTTGTAGAAACATCCAATTAACACAGTTCAAGTTCCATATAAAAGCCAACTTCAAGGACTACAAATCATATGAAGACATCATTCCAAGAATCGGAGGGCAAGAAGGTGAAAACAGACAATGAATTCAGGTGATCCCTGTTGCGATTTCATAATGAGACCTTCCACCATTTGGATCATATCTCTTGATTGGATTATTCAAATCCAATTCGAAAAATTGCGGTGGATAGAGGACTTCATTATCTACAACTTTCTCGAAAGAAGTTTTGTGAAATTCGGAAGTTTAACGCACACCGTGCGTAGAGGAACGCACGATCGTGCGTCCGAGACAAGAAAGCAAGGAGGCCACTGTCAGCCACGCACAGTCGTGCGGATTTCAACCTTTGTTAGTCTCAGATACTCATCCGTTTTCTATAAATAAGGTCTCTTTACTCACTCATATTTTTGGGTTAGGAACATTACGAAGAGGCCCAGAGACGAGATTACTTGCGTTTTTAATTTTTATCATTGTTTACCCCAAGACCCTGGGATTATTTGTAAGTTCATCTTTTTAATTAATGACGATTATTTTTATTCATCCCAATTATGTTGATTCTTCAATTATTAATTGTGAGTAATTTAATTAGGGATTTGGAGTTGATGAAGGGGTTGATCATGATGTATGACTGGATTCTTGATGGTTTAATTGCATGAATGTCGTCTAATTTGTGTTTGAATAATTTAACTGATATCTTTTGTAACCTAGAACGGTTGCTAGAATTACAATTGCTTCTTGAGTAAATTAAGAGAAATCTAGTCTCAAAAAAGATCTTTTTATTTTTTGAAAAGCTCTTAAAATTGGCATACCAAACACACAACTTGAAGCTTTTAAAGACTTATTAAATAATACAAAAGCTAGAATACAGAGACTTATGCGTGCCAAACATAGCCTAAATGGGCCAAGATTAAGTTCAGACTTCTACCGCTGCAACGATTGCTAATTTGCTATACTGAGCTGATTTTCTCCTTATTGTTCCGGATACGTTTGTTTTTTGAAAGGGGGTTCAAAAATAAAATTTCTTATTTATTAGTTCAAAAGGGGTGATGTTTTTAGCAAATAAAAATTAATTGAAACTTAAATATGACAATGTTTAAAAGTGATACGTGTCTTATGGGTTACACATTTTTAAACTTGAAACAATTTAAATAAAGTTATATTGCAGTGAGGTTCGCAGCAAGCGAGCGAGCGAGCAACACATAATAGTAATTAAATAATTAATTATAAAGAAATGAAATATAAACATATAAACACTTTACAAAGTTTAATAGTCCGTATCAATTAGTCAAACTTCACTTTTCAAGTCAATGATATCTTTATATATATATATAAAGAGAAGACGGTGTGGCATAACTGTTCCCGCCTAAGAAAATCACGAGAACAATAACTTCAAATCTTCCGGTTGTCTGACTTTGGTAACTGCGTGCCTGCTATTTATTTGTAGCATGGTTTCTAAACTGTTTATTTAATTGCGAGCACTCATGTGAACCATTCATTTGCCCTTCACATTACTAGCATATTATTGGCAATTTGGCCTGGTAAGTGCATTTATTTCGAGATGAATCAGTCCAATACGATAGATTTACGCTGGCTGTGAGAGATAGTTTGGGAGGTACGTACATTCATACATTCATATATTCACACATACTTCTATTCAAATCTAATGCACGGTACAGGTATTATGCATGCTACACTGGCTGTGAAAGACCTTGACACTTTAATGTTCTGATCATTCATTCGATGCTAGAATATAATTGGTAGATAGGGTAAATATAGCAGTTTACAAAAAAAAGAATTTGGTGGGATCTTCACTTCGGAAACAGAGATATTTTGCATAAGTTTAATGATACGTAAAAATGTAGAAAATAAAAAAAATGTATGTGGCTCAACACATGGCGAAATGAAGATGATTTTATTGTCTTTTACTCCATATTATACGATAGTAGTACGTAGTAGTACGCAGTACTCACGGTACATTCCTAAATGCTTAGCAAGTAGACTTTACAATCAAAGAGATTTCTAGAAAACATCCTAAATTATCTCATAAATGTTCAGTCTCACGAATAAACATCATATCT